GTTATTACTTCTGTACGTTCTACTAATTTTTTAGTTGGTTTAAAGTTTTAACTTAGTACTACGTATAATAAATAAATAGAAGAAACTAGATAATAACAACGAAACAAATAATATCTCAATAGTTACAAAACATATAGTCGCGTAAAATCTATGTTTATCATACAAAAATAATTGATAAACTTACCTTTCCAGCTGTGTCCATGATTTTAAGGCAGATTTTACGTCCATCGATCTGGGAGTTGTAGGCGTAAACATCTTCTACAAGAGTTAATATATGTATATTTGAAAAGTGAGAGACTGGTGTTAATATGTATTTCAATAATTATTCAAATAACACTAATCTTACTATAATGGACGTAGCGTGTATATATATATATATATATGTATGTGACCGAAATAATAAACACAATGTGGCGCCATCTATTGAATGGCACCACAGACATAAATTCATAAACAATTTCCCACTTTGGGTATTCAAAATTCAGACAATTAGGAAAATAACTACAGTATGTGCAACTACCATTTTTTTAATCACAGAACACAATTTCAAATAAAATTGCTCTACTCACAACAAGAACACGACTTTCACTAGAACTATACTTGAGGGTTTGATTATATCTTTCTTGATGTAATATATATATATAATACTAAAAATGTAATTCATAAAAAAACTATTATTTTTTTTCGATAAAGGGTACCACTTTTAATACATAAAAACATTACAGTTTATATCAGCACAATCCGTACACTTTTCTCATGCGCTACTTCTGAGAAACATATAGAATAGAATAGCGATAGAATAAGACAAAAGAATTGCATTAGAAAGTGAATGATGAGAGATTCGTGTTATATTCACAGGTACTTTGTACATGGGTACACTGGCTCATATAGACAGTCTAACAATGGGAAAGATTTTTTCAAGTTATTTTCTTTATAGTTGGAACGATGTTAGAATTGCGAAATGAGTTGAAACAAAATTCCTTTTACTAAAGCGCTTTAAGAAAAAGTGGTCTTTGTTTACATCATATATATATATATATATATAACTAAAATGGAGAAGAACCTAATAATAATCAGGTTTATAGTCTTCAGTGTGAGTAGGAAGGAAACGGAAAACGTAGAGAAATGTTTTAAAATTAGAAAATGAGTATTTAATATTTGAATCTTTACAAAAGCAAGCTGTAGAAACTAGAATCAGTCTATATAACATAAACTAAGATCACGACACTAAAATAGATAAATAAAAAATGCAGAATCACGACCAGAAATTAAAACTAAAATTCAATACAAAACTTTTAAATGTAAAATTAGATAGAAAAAAATTGTAGTTAAGGACAAAGCTACATAATAGGTTATTTGTGCTGTGCCCTACACGGGTATCGGAATCTGGTATTCAGTGTTATACGTCTTCAGACTTACCGCTGAGCCACTGGGGGCAAAACTTTAAGGTATGATAATAAGGTATGTCAGCATAACCTATAACATTCTCAATGTGTACGTGATTTAGAAGATCACATAATATGGCATATGAAATTATGACGTAATTCTTTCAGTGTAACAAAGTATTTAATGCTTCTTCGGAAATATAAAACTGTATGTGATTGAAAATCAACTGTTTAACAGTGTGACAGACTTTGTTCGATATGGATATTTTTATAGGTATTAATCGCGGGGGTTGTGGATGAAAGAATAGAAGGACAAGTCCTTTCCACTCTTGCTAACGGGGGCGGGGGAGGATTATATTTATTGCTCCCCAATTTGACAAATCACGTGATTTTTTGTTTATTGTCGATATATGGTAGCAACTAAATGGGAAAAAGCTTGAAATTTAATAGACTATTCCTGTTACGACAGCAGCCAGAAGAACATTTCCTTTAAATATCCTGTTACGACAGCAGCCAGAAGAACATTTCTTCCTGTAAATATTCCTGTTACGACAGCAGCCAGAAGAACATTTCTTCCTGTAAATATGGTTGGACCACTGGGAATAATTACTGATAGTGAAATAATAACGGTGAGCATTGTATTCATTTGTTTCTTTCTTTGTAGAATAGTGTCTGTTTGTGTTATACATGTATAGTAGCTTACAATACTTACACATATTATTTTAATGTAACACATTTTAGTAACTTAGATTACAATAATCGTATCATTTATGTAGTCTGTAAAATACAGTAATTAGTGACCCCTGGACTTTCTTAAGAGGTTCACCCCTCTTAATGCAAGCTGAAAAGCAATCCTTCCCCTCTCCCCCTCAATTTACAGTACAGATCTGGAGTTTTTGGTGTTTTATAAGATTTTAAAATTATTTCAATCATATTATCGTTGAACTATATGGTTAAAGATAATCAGATGAATAACTTTGTAAAATCTAATAAAATACTCACACGAAACATTAGTTTTTAGGACAGTTTACACAAACAATGTATAGAAGCTGTAATGCTGACAGTTTAATTCAATTATAATCATAATTCCAAACCCTACCTGATGTCGGGTCGTACTCGTGAATGAATCTTTTTGTCAGGAAGCGAACGATGAGAGCTATAAAAGAAATATACAACCAGGTGTATCAAAGTGTGTCAAGATAACATCATTTACTATTAAAACACTTATATTATACACAAGTGGAGGAAAAAGTTGTGCGACGTAAATTTATAATTTCTAGAACCAACGGTTATCATGACATCATCATTTCCCATGAATAAATATTTCAGCATCTATTAATGTACTTTACACCTCAATAAAGCTTATAGATGAACAAACGGTAGGTGTGAAATTGTAACTCTTTATTACCGTTAGAGCAACTCTACAGGTGCACCATTTGGTGGGTATGTAACCATACTGTCTCTTACCTTTAGAATAACTCTAAAGGTGCATCATTTGACGGATATGAAATCATTCACTGTCTATTACCATTAGAACAGCTCTACTGGTGCACCAATTGGTGGATATGTAACCATACTGTCTCTTACCTTTAGAATAACTCTAAAGGTGCATCATTTGACGGATATGAAATCATTCACTGTCTATTACCATTAGAACAGCTCTACTGGTGCATCATTTGACGGATATGAAATCATTCACTGTCTATTACCATTAGAACAGCTCTACTGGTGCACCAATTGACGGATATGAAATCATTCACTGTCTATTACCATT